TAATTCAAACTTATCTTTAATGAATGAACATAATTTTATTGATAGATTCAGGTCTACACAAATGAATTTTTAGTTTCATTGTTAACGGAAACAAACAACACTTCATGTAAAACAACAATCTGTTTGAAATCATCTTCACGTTAATTTACCCAAAAACATCGTACCTTGAAATAACCACTCATCAAGAACCTTGGACAAACTTTTTTCTAAAGTAATCCAGTAAAGCCACTCGCTATTCCCATGCCTCAAAGAAAAATTAGCTGAGTTTTTATACTGGACAAATTGCTCCGAAGATCAACATTAACGGAAATGCACACCTATCTAGAAACTTGCTAAAAAATGCTGTTCGATGTTTTAAGATAGTCTTTACTGAAGGATTGATATAAATAATCATTGAAGGTCTAGTTCTTAAGAGACACATCTAAACTAACCTAAGAGCAAACCCAGGCCAATACAGTCCTTAGATGAGTTCAGTCTTGCTCATCCATTACATTAAGATCTGATAATATACTTTTCCAAACTTTATTGATCTTCTAAGATATTTGATTCTCGACTAACTATAGTAGGTAGACAACTGTCTTACTTTGAACTTGGTTGACTCCATAATTAATAACTTTGAGCTAAATATTTAAGATATCCATCTAGAACTCAGTCAATGATAATCATGATTTATATCTCTGACTAAGGTTGAAAACAGTGAGCTCCGATTCACTGAGTGAATAGTATCATGTATGGAGCAAAACTTAAAGACCATGGGTTTATTCTCCAACAGTTCTCTGACTGAAGTCAGACTTTCCCAAATAAACTCTTTAAATTGCACAGGTCTATACAAGCAACCTAACTAGATATTCTATGTTATTTCATAGATCATAACTTGCATAATACAGAGTTTAACGTTTAGCGAAATAAAAATTTTACTTAGTTTATTCTATAAAACTTATTCTAAAAATTATCCGGTACAAAAATTTTGTGCTGAAAGTTAAACAAAACGTCTCATATCTGTGGGAATTATTCCATCATGTTTTATGAATGTTCGATTGATTTAAACATAAATTTCAACAAGAAAAACGAATTAAACTCCAAAATGAAAATGAATCCCTCTTCAGGAGGGGAGGTAAGCCGGAGCTCTATCTCTCTCTCTGTACATTTTTCCCCTATGCTTAATAACTGAGAAATCAATTGATTTCACGTTAATTGGAATACTTACTTCCTACTTTTCATTTTCAACATATCATTATTTACTAAATAAAATGATGAATTTAAGGAATCAATCGACTGGATTCTTCTTACTCCACAGTGTTTTTTTTCTATATCGTCTTTTCAGAATTAGTTTTCATTAGTGATTGAAAGATTTTATGACATTTTACCTAAGCTTTTAAAATACAAACCAATTAACACATACGTACACATTCACATGCAAAGATAATGAGAGAAGAAAAACTGCAAGAGATGATTAAAAATTAAAAGGTAAAAAAGTAAAGAATAAATGTAACAAAAGTGGCATATGTGCAAAACGAAAAATGTACGTTCTTAATGTCTTTTCAACGTGTTTGTTCTTATTGGAGAGAAAGAGAGGATAAATGAAAGACGTAAAAGAGATGAAATAGAAACAAAGTTTTTTACAAAAATTAAGAACTCAAATACCATTTTGATAATAAACTATGATGGAACGACTAAGTTTGATTCTATAGGCATAACAATTATCAACTTCCAATGTTATATAAGTTTATGAATTTAAATACTGTCATTTTTTCGTATTAAAATTAAATTTTCCTCACCATTAGTTTCTATGTTTAAATTGAGCCATGAATTCAAAATGTAAAGCATCCAACCTTTAAGATGTCGTGTTGTGAGTTTCAACCCCACATCCTTAAAGTATCGTTAGCGTTCAAACGGTGAATTCAACGCACAGCCTATCTATAGAATTAATGATGTTTCATATCCATTATATGCATAATAGTATTCGTCTTCGAATGTATGCGATGGAATTACGAATACTTTTTTAGATGTAAGTGTACCTTATCAATGAATCCAGATCCTAGACTTCTGTTCTGACCATAATGAGATACACTTTGTGGTTGTTACACAAATATTATGAGCAAATATTTAAACAGATTTGAAGCAAATAGTATAATCATATGGTAGCACAAATACTATTGTCGCCTTATACGGTGGTGGACTAAGGATTCCAATATCCCGATAATTTTTCCACGTAACAGGTCTTCAAACAGACTTTCAAGTCCCAATAACTCCTAGGTTTCATACTTCTTAATCTCTATGACTATAAACGACGTATTTTGATGTACAAAGCGTGTGTCTGATCACTCCTAGAATATTGTACTCTTATTTTGAGTAGCATTTGAGTAAAAGATAAACGTAAGTTGAAATCTGTCAAGTGACAACCTACACTTTGCATTCTCGGAAATGATATTACGTTAAACCACAAATCCAGATCCAAAAAACTTAGACTTAACTCTTTTGAAGCAAAGATTTAAAAGAAATCTAATTTTTCCCTTCAAAATATTAAATCAAATAAATTTCACATCCACTAATCAAATCCAATTTGCAGAAACACCTAGTTACAACATTCATAACTCTTAGTCATTAGTGAAACCGTTTCACTCTTAATCTTTTCTCTACATAAATCACTATACTAGTAAATCTCCCAAATTCTGGAACGATTTTTTACAATCTATCCTTGAAATAAAATCACTTCCATTATTTGTTGATTGTATCGATGTTTACCTTCCCTCTGAATCAGCCGTAAAAGTGAATGCAACTGTTTATATCCTATTTCACGAGTGAAACTATAGGATGTTTGATAATTGTTATTATTGAGTGTACTTGTTAAACATGCCTCGTGAATATTTTACACTTACACTGCCTTTGACTAACTTAATATCTATCCCAATCGGTAGATCATAAAACAACTTAGCACTTGTACAATGACAAGCCCATCACATTAATTTTTGCGGCTTTTGTTCTGCACTCTCTGTTTTGTTTTGTTTTTCTAACTATAGATGACTACGATTGCCCTGCAATGACATTGTAAATGATCTGAAATAAGCTATTCATACATCAACAGAACCCTCTAGTCAACCTACAAAGAATTACTGGCTCCTAACTGCTGCCTTAGCTTGTTGTAATTCTTGCGACAAATGTTTTTTTTAATAATTTATAAAGTGCATCATTTCAAACAATTGAAACTCAAATCTCTGTCCTTTACGTGTAACATAGCTTTCAGTATCAACCTGATAATGCTTGTAAATTGGCATACATTATATATATATTCATTCCATTGTCGTAACACTAATACCATTCCACAATCCAAGTCAACCAACCAGTCATTATCATAGGGAAAATGGACGTTAGTTCAAGTCCTCATGCCACATCAGTACGGCGAAACAAAATTAGCAAAAAGAACAGTGAGCAAATGAAATAATGGTAATGTCAATTCAAGCAATAGATCGGTTCAATCAATAAAAACCCAATATTTATCCTAATCCATTCAGTTAATCGATATTATGTGGATGAAAAACAGTTAAAATAATTACAATAGTAGAAAGCTCGTAGGTTTTTCCTATAGGATTTATATCAGGTTAGTTGATGAGAAGACAGGAAATTACAGACATATATATATATATATATATATATATATATATATATGATTGAACAAAAAACTAACCCAAATTCCTGCCATTACCCAACCTATAACTAAATATGTCAAACAATGTCAAATATCTAATTTACAATAAACATATCTAAATATATACTTAATTACTGCATAACAAGCTAACTTTAGTTAAAACACTACCGAGAAATTACGAAGTACTATGCATATATTCTGTCTTAACTCACATGTCATTAACAGTATGGTACCATACTCCCCTCACGACCAAACTTTTGATCTCAATAAACAACATATTACCCTAAGAAACATAGAGCTTCATGTCAGTGTCTAATATTTTCAATCGTAGTCAATTTAGCGTGTAATTTGACTTGTTCTCTAACAACCATGACAATATACTTGGTCGACAATATAAATCGTGGTTTTCTATTACCATTTCAAACAGATTTATTTGGAGTTGAAACTCAAGGGTGTTATGGTTAATCCTGATGCTCATCATGTATTTCAATATTTTGGCCAGATATTTTATTTTCTAGAATGAACAGGAACTTATAATCTATTGCCAATGTTGTTACCTGTTGAAATTGATCGGAATTACCTTATGACTATCATATTTGTTGCAAGTTCTAAGAGTTCATGTGCAGATAGTCAGTCATTCAACCATAGGAAATAGAATGAAAGAGATGCTGACTAATTTTTATTATGTAAAAGGTTTCTCTTTCACTAGTATTAACCATAAATTGAAATAATCTTTACTTCAACTGAATTTCTTCAATCCAATAATTTGATTTTTATAGATTGTTTTTAAACACTAAGTTTTTTTGTTAATATTCCATAACTGTAACAATATATCAATTCCATTTGCAATGAACGAATGAAGTTCTACTTACTATTGTGGAAAATAATATACTTACAACAATCACTAATTGCTTTATTCAAGAGTGTGAAAGTTATTCTAAAGATTATATCTTCTCTAAAAGCTTATACTGAATGAAATACGGTGAACACTAATAGTACTTTACCAGCGAAAACTCCTTTTTCATACTGAAACTGATATAGTATTATAAAAACTTTCGTCCAAATTTAAACAAAGTTTCACAGTAGTTATTAACATGAATGAATGACCTGTTTATTATACAGTCAACCGGAGAACTATGTACTTATTTATATTCAATAATTTAAGTGTTTGGTTATATTTCGTTGAGAAAGCTTGAACCTGATTGCTGAGCGAAATGTTTGATTTACTTAAGATTTAATCGTTGAGATTTTACGAATATCATTTCTCCTCCTTAAGGATAGAGTGTAAACTGTTTAGTAGTAATTTGGAGAAGAAAAATATTCCATCAATCAAATTTTAATAATGATAACTTACATTTAGAATATAATGCCAGTAAAAGTGATACACCTGCAGCCACCATTAAAACAATCAATGTTACATCCTGTAAAGCTTCCCACATAAGTTGAAAAAAACTTTTTGGAGGTGTTGGGGGTATTATATTGGTCCCGAAGACTTCACGACGTTTTGCCAAATCATGACTTGATAATCCTTAAAATTTAAACAAAAAAGAAAATTCAACAAAATCATGAATAAACTGTAATTTAAAAAAATAAACAATATAGTTTTATTGAACAATGTGAACATATCACCAATCTCTAACTATTGTCAACAAAAGATCGAAGATATTATTATTTATGTATGATCATAATAGTTGATATAAATATTGGCTTAAAAATAGGATACAAGATTTATGCTCCTAAAGGATTCACATAATAATAACAGTAAGAAATAATTATTCCTAGGATCTCTTTCAACGATTGCTAATACAAGAATTTCGGTAACGGATAAAATATAGTTAAATAATGATTATTTACTTCTAAATTATCCGTGGAACATTGTCGTTTTCATAAACACATAAATTTACTTGTTATTTTGATTTAAGAAAAGAATGTCGTATTATTTTATTTGTTATTTGAAATCACATTTTATAATGAATCGACAATGAATAGGAAAGGATTGAATACGGAAGATCAATGAACAAATATTTCCCCTTGGCTTGAGACTTATCAGTTATGCACACTACTATACTTCATCATGAAAGAAATGGTTGAAAAACATCACATTACAAGTTTATTTATATAAACTATTCTAAACAATCAATCAAGACTGTTTGATACATAATTATCGGAGTTACTGTTTTTTGGATTTTATTAGGCTGACAGATTATCGGAACATTAATTTCAACAATATATCTAGAAGATATAACTTTCTCAACAGAACTAAAGCAGTTCAACGCCTTACTCTCTTAGGAAAGAAATATTAAGTGAAATAAGCTTTCATCAACCAATACGTGAGTCATTTTTCCCATGAAACATGCTGTAAAGTTAACCCACTACTAAGCTATATACTAATTTAAGACATTAAACTTAATTGGGATTTGTCTTTACTATTAAGATAAATTATAAACTAGGAATATAAAGAAATCTTCTGATCACCGACTCCTTAAAGTGGAAATATAACAAACATACTTTGTTTCGTGTAATAAAAATCCTAAACTGATTTTACTTCATCAATTAATTTACTATCAATTTAGGGCTTCTAACTCAAATAAGGACACTGATGTAAAATTTAGCAAAACTTCACACACTGTACAATACAACTAAGCTTATCTGCAAACTTTGGGACAAATTGGATTTTTGTCATTCTTACAATCACCTATAATAGATTGTTGAATCAGAAAAATGAAGGGATCCTGTCAACATATTGTATTAACACTATGTAGTTATCCGTTATTCATTTTATGCACTAAACTAAATGTATAAATCGAATTTACTGGACACGCCTCCCTAGAACAAATAAATTAAGGAAAATGAAAGCAAAGCTTCTTGGAATTTATTAAATGTGGAAAAGTATCGAAGCATGTGATGCACTGTATCTTTTAAATGCTTATCTAAGATGACTTTCCGAAAAGATTTGTGAGAGTTTAATCAATTATCTATTTTTAGTCGGTTACCTCAAGAATTTAATTTCAGAGTAAATGTAACTAGACTTGATATTATCGTTTCTCGATATATTGATAACAAAATATCAAAGACATATTAACGTTACTAAAAAAATAATTTCTACAGTCAAACCAATAATCACATAACATTACAATATTGAATAACTACACCATTCATGAAAACAGTAATTACTTGAAAACTAACTGTACTATAAACTTATAGAATAAGACATTTCACTGATTTACTATAAAATGATTTGATCATTCTTGTTCAGTGTTTCCCTCCTAATATCATGGAATTCATAGTCAAAAGAAATTATATCCAAAAAAAAGCTAATCTTCTTATTAGTTTTTTAAACTAGTTAAATAATTGATAAGTTTTGATCGAGGGAAAACAATATTGTGTATGTGTAACAAATGTTGATAAGTATTACTTAAAAACATCTATATTAATGTTTACAGTGTAAGTTCTTAATTCATATCAAAATAAAAGTATTGAAAATTCAAGTAAAAGAGAAAAATACTTATCATATGATAGAATGTTTACTTCTTGGAAATTATGATAGATAATTAAAATAACAGAGAAATCAAATTAAAAACAAACGTGTAAAATATTTTTTTACAATCAATAATTCATACTTTATAGATCTAAATCATTCATTATTTACTTGATAGACATTCACTCACTTTTTTTTAATCTAGAAAATAATCAAATCTGTATATCAACCTAAAAGGTGATATGAAAAATTACTAATTAAATAGTAAAGTAATGATCGACGAATGGTTATTTACTATTATTTACCAATAACGGCCACCTAGATTCAATTTGAAAATGAAATCATTGAAATAGACTATACGGTAACTGATATTTTGTTTGAAAAAAAATTCTAAGATTTATTTTTGTTCTACAAGCTATTATTTATCAGTAGAAAATAAAAACAAAAAGAAGTTTCTGATTTTTAAAAAGAGCGAAACAGAATAATGACAGGTTTGAACTAATCACTTCTTTGATCTTAGATAATCTAAAGAATAAAAATAACTGTTCATTTAGAAACTAAAAGTCGTTTTTTTATCTTTAAAGCTTTTTGTTTAAAAATATTAAAATTAACAATTTATTTTTAATATTCTAATATATTTGTTATCTAATGTCTTGACTTTTATTTTTCAACCTCTTTAAATCTAACAAAAATTTTAAATAAATATTTATTACAAGTCGTAATTAGTTGAAAATCTATTAAAAACCAAGAAACACTGGAAATGTTTCATCATCATTTGAAATTATTCATTCAATACACATCACAAGTTTGCCATTGAATCAAACTTAGGTCGTATGGTGAAAACGGTACCATTGAATCAGTGAGTTGGAATTAAATACGCTGAAATGTTTAACTTGTCAATCAATTGTGTAGTATGACTATGATACAATGTTATCGATGAGTGACTGACTTAATTCTTATTTATTCGTAGTGAGTCATTAATAAACTGTTAGATTTACGTTCATTATTTTATTAGGTACATAAAAATAATAAATTTAACACTTATAAAACAAAGAGCCAAAAGTTTACAGTTATAACAACCATATATATATATATATATATATATATATATATATATATATATATATATATATATATATATATATATATATACTATAGAAGGAAAGTATATTGTTACATTATTCTTCATAGTAAACAAACTTGGATTCACATTCAAGAGTATTATCTACTAACAATTAAATCCAATCAAGATTAATTATTTACTTAAATAGATTTTAACTAACTAAATTATTACCTGTCAATTTAGAAACCTTTATCAACGAGTCTTAATAGGCAAACACAAGTTAATTCTGATTAAATGGTAATATCATGTTATTAATCTTATTTGTTTACTATTTGAACATATAAACATTGGTACAAACGGGCACCGAATATATATGCGCCACACAAGTCACTTGGTATGTGTGTGGGCTGTGATACTACCCAGGTGCCCATATCGAAGCAGGTTGTATTCTTAGGGGTAACACCCGCAGCTTTCAACCTAAAGGTCTGATCCACAAAGCAGTGAATCAACTTTAGGAGGTGCAATCCCATGGTAGCCGGTGACCAACAATTGGTTCATACTCCATTTGTTCCATCAGGATCCTGGAGCTTATGTGCATCATTGGTTTAGAATCAGGGTTTTCCAAAACCCCCAGGTAGACCCCTTGTGTTCACGAACTCGGTTAAAGCGCTAGCAATTCGCCTTGCATCCTATTAATTTCGTAAACAACAAGCCCACCACGAGAAAGCGGTGAGTAGAACTTTGTTGGCAGTATCTGTATACGTGTGGTCATGTGAGAGCATTTAGAGAGGGAGAGCAAAATCCCCCCACTCTCAGCCGTACCCGGGCATTCGGGGGCATTTTATTAGTCACATTCCATAGGAAGAAAATAGTTGCTCATTTAGAGTTTAATTACACTCTAAAGTACAAACTGTAGATATAAGACTACAACAAGTTGTACCATTGGAACCCAATGCTTTTTTCAAAATAAAGCATTAGCTTATTGATCCCCAACACAGTAAAAGGGATGTAGTGATCAACAGGACGTTTCGCTTATTTAACTCGGTTGATTTAATTTTATTGGTACTAGCCTTTCACTGACATTTAAATATAACTTTGGCGTATCAATCTTCATTCAATGCACTACATCAATTCTTTATCATAACAAAGGATAAATTTACTTGTTATGTTTCTGAACTTAATTTGGATATATTCCATGTACTTCTTGTTTGATCCCAATAAGTAACAACAGTGTTAACACTGTAATTGGCAAAAGGAAGATATAGGTTATAGACTGATATTCAACATCAAACTATGGACATAGCACAATAACGACTTGTGCAAGTATTTAAATAACTTCTGTGATAAATATAAATATAAAATAATGCAATCCTATAACTAAAGAGACTTTAATACGTTTAACTGCCAATTACTAATGGTTTAGAAACCTTGTTTTCAAACGCCTCTTAATTTCCACAATACTGGAACATATATATATACCATTTGCATAACCTCTGTCCTACTCTTATACCCATTTGTAGTTACAAACTATTATGTTTACGAATTATCATTTCAAAGGAAAATTGAGACTTACTGGTTAGCTATGAATAGCTAGTCTTTTAGTCATTCTCACTTTCTCACGGGCTGGTTAGTACAACCCGACCAATTTATTTAAAGTAGTACTTATTAAACATTAAAACATCGTTTTCATCATTTAAAACAGTGGTATTTACAATCTTTGTTGATCATAACACATTATTCAATATACTGTTAACTAAATTAATTAACTTCTGAAGTTTCAATAGATGAGAAAATTCACTGAATCTGCTTATTCATATAGAACATATGAGGAATTAATAAAGTGTGTTGTTACTCAAAAAAAGTTAAGAATCAGGTTTGAAGAGAAAAGTGACATGGCCTTCTGATTCTAGAGCCTATCCTCTGGCTTTTAGGAAGATTAAAATAAGTCCACGTGCTATTCATTAACCTAAGTCAAGTTAGTTTCAAAAACGTCATATTGGGAATCATTAGCCGCTCGTTCACAATGAATACCTCTGAACAAAATAAAAATTTAGTAACACATATTAATTAAAAACATTTTCCTAATTACGATCTTCACACGTCATCAGAACGTAAGCCCGATCTTTCTAGTTACCACTCAAATGTGAGCCCAAACTATCAAGTGCATTTGTGGATAGTAAAATAGCGTGTTCCTAAAAATTTTTCATTTGCATTGAGTCATTCGCCAAATCAACTGAATCGCTGAGCCACAAAATCAGATTACATTTCCAACCAATAGCGACAAACAACTAAGGCATCAATCAAAATTTTTCGACTTCTAGGCAAATTATGATTGCATCTTCGTATGTTTCCAACTGCCGTATTTGTATTCCAGTGTCCGAACCCAGTTTGCTTCTGCAAAAAATATCTTGTACTGGTTTTAATAATAGCTACCATATTCAGTCTTATTTTTCAGCACTAACAGATTTAAGAGACTGGTACGCTTATCTCACATATGGTTGAATTTTTTAATAGTTTAAAAACAACCAACACAAGTCAAATAAAAATCTGTACTGCATTAGAAATAACCGTAAAAAATATCTGAGTTTTAAAAGACCTACGTGACACAGGTGCGTCATTAATGACTATTTTGGCAGCATTTACGAACAACATATATTCACAACTTTTTGTTACCATAATAATTACTGGTGATAAATTTTAAACAAATTAGTGGCACTACTTTAAAATGTTTTACTTTTTTGACCATCGCTGCGACCAAATATTTTTCCCTTAAATCTAGTCCACTAAACGTTCCTACACCTTGAAGAAATATTTTCGAATAATTTTTTCAAACCACAGTCTTATTCGATTGCGTTTAATTTAACTACTTCTACTACATGATCTAAAATTTCTAGTTTCTTTCATTGATGATGGGACTTTTTATTCAACAGATATCACTTAAGAAAACCTATAATGACATAAGCCGTAGATATGACATTTCGTATTATCACCCAAAACATCCAAATTTATAGTTCTAAAAAGACAATCAAATATGACAAAACAACGCAAACTTACAAGAGCTCTACTTGGAAACAGGTAAACATTATTCTCTCATTCATAACTTTTACATCACTCGCTGTCTTTTACTCATTTAAATTATAACCGAAAGACGCAAACGACTTATATCATGAGACACAGTCGTCATTTGAGCATAATCCCTCACTTAGTATTCACTCATTATATCAAGGCTTCACTGTTTTATTTTTTCTTGTTAGAAATAATCTTAAGTGGTTATCTAAAGATTGTTAATCAGGCCCTACAAACTATCACGTTTTGTAGGTTTAGTCAGGAATGGAAACAAAACATAAAGTTGAGGTAAACCTTCTGCTAACAAAATTTCACTTTCTATATCAGATATCAAAAAGTATGCAATCTCTCAACGATGTGAAAGGATAGGTCCATATATTATCTTCTGCTTTCAAATTAGTAAACTTTGCTTTAATCCTTTTCTTTTAAATTTATCAGGTCTAGAACTATAGATATGGATTGGACCAGTAACGTTCCTAGTCTAACGGTGATATGTTTTTATGTTTCGTAAAAATGGATATATTTACATATATCTGGAGAGACAAACAGTGAGAAAGCATTCTGAAACTTTTATAAAAGTGCAATCAAAGAAAAAACTATGACTTGAGACAAGATAACATATTCAGCACAGTATTACAGAGAACGCAACTTGAGTTGATATCTGCCATTTCAAGTAAATCTTTATTTATTTCTCCGTTGGAAGTGAACAGCTGTTCACAAACATCTTAATAAAAAATGTTGAGAATATTAAGATGAACTTTATAAATGCTTTACAATATGTGAGAACCAATGGTGGCTGTAATTTAAAGCTTTTTGAGAACTCCATTGCAAAACGACTTGGGCTCCACGAAGTTTATAGTTTCGTAATATATCAAAGATTTTTTATACAAATTCTAAGTTTTGATTGTCAAACTTAGTTACTCAGTATGAATTAATCAGTACCTTTTCTTTATCTGTTGGCTGTAGTCAAAAATGTTATGTAGGGTTCTAGCTTACAAGTTGTACATCTAACCGTGCTACCGTTCATTAACATTCTAATTAAAGCTATGGCTACGCCTATAGTCAGATATGATTATGTTTGACCAAGTGAATAAATCAACTTTGGACAGCTAGTTAAGTGTGGATGGAAATGATTGTTTGCCCTTGTTCTGAATGAAATTGATTATTTACCCCTTCTGACCCCTTTATGACAAACATGCCAATAAATAGTCACGCACAGTAATTCAAATATCGATTTTATTTTTGCTGTTTAAACCCTGTTTTGTTGTATTCACCTGTGAAATTAATTTGAAGTATACTGATATCTGATCTTTGAGCTCTTCAAAAACTATATTTAACGGGCATAATGGGGTTTGAGTATGAAAATCGATATCTTAGCTCTCAGAAATTGGAGAAAGATTGAGGTTATTGATTGCAATTGACCCTTACCAGTTTACAAACAACCATGTGGCGCAAACTAAAACGTATATACCTATCATGCTCTTCTAAATACCATTATCTTTGCAGTCAATGTATCATTAACAAATCAGTTCTGGAGCCAATAGGCTTTGTCAGGAACTTTGAGAACTTTCACGATTAGTTTTCAGGAAAAATTAGTACTGGGAATGTTATTCAGTCACTGAGTTAACAAAACCGAAAACGCCCAAGTCAGTAAACCCTTAATGATGCCTTAATAAGACTTGTTCATAAACAAGCATAAGAAAGCAGACAATTATTTCTGTGCCTAAACGATCCATAGGGTTATAGACCACTGCGTCTTGATATCATCTATGAGTTTTATGAAATAAAGCGAGTTGATAGTTTCTCTGATTTAGTAGTCGGAAAAACGAACACTCCTTACTAATCCTAAATATTCTGGTTCCGATATTCTACGAAAAAGCAAAGGTAGACCGCCGAGGAGGCCTATACACGCACGAAACATATGTTTAATTCAGACTGATTTTCAATGGCTCTGCAGACAAAGTTATTCAGTGACTAAACTTATCTTCGAATTACTTGCGATGATAGAAAACATAAATGACTTAACAGTAATGGAAATGGTTAAAAACGGTTATAAATGAAATTTAACATTTTCTTCAGTACTTTAATTCATCTCCTATCTTGTTTTACTTAAAAAGTCAGCTCTTAGAAGACTCCAAATAATCTGCTTAATTATATGGTACACAGACTGATTAGGTATTGTGAAGGTTAATGTTATCTATATTCTAACGATAAAATCGTTAAACACAATTTCAAAATTAAATCATTAGTACAAAGCACCAAAATACTTAGTAAAAGAAATAGTAACCAGATGATAAAAAAGTAACTGAAAAAGCTTGTCTAACATTACGTAGTACACGCTTCGAAAAAATCGCCAACTAACCTTGAGTTGGAGAGGTTTTAAGACGCTTACACAATCCAGAAGCTCCACCAAATCTTTTATTCACAACTTCTACTGCTTCAGCTCCACGCAACTGCATAAGTCCCTGAAGTTCATGCACAGAGCAACCAAATTCCGTAGAAGAATTATTGCTGTCTTCAGTAGAGAAGCGCTCACGCATTTTTATATATTTACTCAGATGGAATAGAAAGTAAAATAGTAATATGTCAATTAAAATATTATCCTTAAATCAAATATTAGTCCGAATGATTTGCAATGTAACCACATTAACATAGTTTCGCATTAAAGCAAACTCAAAAATCAGTTTTATTATGTGGTAAGTAAATCGTAACGTTAGGAACTCTTGAACTACTTTAGGGTGACTAAATCTCCCGCAAACTCAACATTCGAAACAGAGAATTTAGAAGTTGATGTTTGTTGAAAGGTTTAAACAAAATTAAATTTTGCTAAGTCATTACCGTATCTAATTAGCTTAGATGACTAAAAGTTCTGGGGAAATAAGTCACACGATTATGTGGATACAAAATATTTCCTAATTGAACTCTCATCTGAAGACAATTTCCTTAATAGATATATTGTTTCAACAAATTAATTTTTATTAGTTGTTTAGTTGAAAGTCGTTTATTTTGTAATGCTACTACTTTTGAAGAGAATGATAATAATTCAACGGGATGGCAGAATTGGATGGCTGATTCAGTGCACACAAAGTAGCACCAAGTTAATATCCAACGAAAATCTGTAACCATCAATGTAGACTGACCCTTCGACGTCCTTTCTAGAATATCCTGACATTAAGAATGTTCGGGACTGTTTTGAGTACTAATCTAATATCTCATCTGTAAAAGTTCATGCATTGCCCCCTTTCCTGAACGTGACGTTATCTTCTTCAAAGGCAGCTTTTACCAAGTCTTTTTCCCTGATTGTTAGGGCACGCGATGGAATTTCTTGTAACAATACTTTTGTTAATGTTTCGGTCTCACTTTAGATTGTGCCCTAGACGTTATATGATACTTCAGTATATCCTCTTAGATTTTAACGGCCATATATGATGCTGATAAGGAGTTACTGAGGACCGCTATTGTATATAATCCGTCAAGAATTCTCATTTCCCTTCCTATCCATAGTAAATTAGGTATATGTCCAATAAACTCATGGCTACTATCACGATATCCAAGCAAACAGCTATTTATAGCCAAGCTCTGTCCAACTAACTCTGTGAGTAGACTTTTGATAGTAAGGCTCTTAACAATCTACCTACTTCTGACACAATTTCTAACGTCTTCCCTCTTCCTTGGCTACCAGTATTTACACCTGAATTCATACGTTATTTTTTTTTGACTTCTATCCCCCAAATCTTCATGAAAATCAAGCACAACACTACCGACAATGAATTGTGGAATTATTATTTTTTGCCAATAACTAAAATATAATACTCTTTAATTATTGCCGAAAATTGCCGCTCAAACCAGGGACGACATTCTGCCCAGCCCATTTCTTCTATCTCTTCTGAACGTAGTCACAGAATCTGATGGTTTTAACTACTCTAAACTGATAGTATCTCACTATGTGTTACTTGGATCTTAACCTAGTGAATATCTTAAAACCTTCTCAACCTAATAGTATTTCCTGGTAATGAGACACACGAAGGATAGCTTAATTGAAGTTTAGTTGCTCAGCTCTATTAGGTTTCTAAGTTCCTCCAGACCGACAGATTTATTGAACTTCAGTCAAAAATAGGTGTCAGTCAACTTAGTTATTATACTCAGCAAACAGACCTAGATTAATGTAAGACTTGCAATGATACGATTGTCGAATCCATGCAGTTGAAGATGCTACAAGTATTCAGTGTTTGACAACGCTTTAACCAGTAACACCTAAGATAACTCGTACCCACCAAGAGAAATCAAAAGACAGAATCGAGGAGATCGGAAGATATATTTGCTGACTATCAGTATATCGAGAATCGTCTGATCTAATCTGGTTAGCGATTGCAGTAGATGTTGAGCACGGCGTTCCCACTGGTGGTCTGGTGCGGATGCATGACCGAGCGCCTTCAGCTAGGTGAGTCTGTAGTGGCATTGGACCATAACCACACGATCCTCAAAGCTGAACACGAGACAACTCGGAAAATAGATATTCAATATTTAACGCGGAGAAATACCCAACGATGGAGAAGGCGGGAAGAATGTATTGAAAGAATTAGAATTGATCGAATGGCATGGCTCGGCCATGCAGGCGTGGTCCCTACTGAATGTTACCTTATATCTTTTATTCATATTAAATATATTGTTCTATCTCTAGCCTAAGCTTGTTCTACATCACGTATTGGTGATTGTTACGATACGATGATTTGGTGTAGACGATGGTATGACTTCTACGTAAGATCTTATAGATCAGGCAGTTATATCATGACAAGTCTACAATTTTAGGATTAGGTCTATTATTAGCGCAGTACTAATATCATAGTAGACAATAATTCTACATTGATAAGCCTGACTAAAGAAACGCAACCTATTACTAATAATCCTTATTTCCACTTTAACTTTCTCGATCGATTTTATAATTATGTTAACCCAGTATTCTAATTGTCCTCTGATTAATGTTCACATGTATTATCATAATGCTAAATTGATTCATTCTCATGCCACACTGGCTCAATCGATAATAAAAACTGGTCGTCTTTATTAAGTAATTAGCTTTGGTGGTTCCATAACAAGTCCACTAAAACATATGGTCAGCATCCAATGTCGAAAACTTACAGAGCTATTTATTTTAGGGATTTATTTACCGCTACAGATCACCCTCCCCTAGTGGTGTAGTGATGACCCTAAGACGTGGCCAGACAGAAGTTTAAACCCAACGAGTTTTGTCATTGGTAAACACTTTTCTGATAGCTTGCTAGGTTTAGCAGCGTCTGGTCGTCTTTCCTTACTATAAGGAGCCATGAAATACAATATAGTAAGAAAATAATGTGCAATGAAAAGTTTGGTTCCTCGTAAACCTCATGTCGAAATAAACTCGTACGCGCTCTAAGACACAAAATGGGCGAAAAAAGGTTAATAACGTAAAAGCGATTTTCACTAAATGTTTTTTGGTTTTTTTGTTTTTTTTTAAAAATCTGTCTAATATACATATTAGCCAAATGATAAATACATATAAATATAGGCATATTGAAATAATTTTTATATTATATATAATACCATGGAAAATCGAGATGAAACAAAATGCTAACTAGTGTCTTACGTGCAATAGTCATTTAAATGTTCTAGAAATCTTACTCTTCTTCCAGAACGCGTTGTTTTAAGTTTATTTTCAGATACTAACGAAGTATCATCGTGCATGTCGGTTGTCGGATGACGCATTGTAATTGTCGGAGTCGTGTCGTTCAACTGTACCGAAATCGACGTAGATAGCACTTCCTTCTAAATACGCTGCTTCGAGGCGATCGATGCTGATACTATCGTTGGTTCCATTCTTATCGATTATATATTACTTAGTTTCGCGTTGAAGAACTTTGAAAGGTCCTTCGTATGCTGATTCGAATGGTCGTCGATGAGAGTCTCGACAAACGAAGACGTGTGTACTATGTCGTCAGTCAGGTTGAACGAAAACATCAGTTGATTGAGGTCGAGTGGAAACAGGTTTAACTGAACGCTTTGCGTTTGTAAGCCTGTTCGTGTAGGAGGTTAGATCCATGTTCATTGAAGAGGATGAAGGATCCACGAATTCTCCTGGAAGTCGAAGTGTCGTTGCATAAACGAGTTGAGCCGCAGAGTATCCAATGTCAGCTTTCACGGCATTGCGAATACCTAGTAAGACGAGTGGAAGAACGTCAGTCCACTGTGAAACGTTTGCAGCTGATAGTGAAGCTTTTAGTTGCCGGTGAAAGCGTTCTACCAACCCGTTTGCTTGTGGGTGGTATGCGGTCGTTCGGAAGCGAGTGATTCCTAAAAGTGGGGTCAGACGACGGAAAAGTTTAGATTCAAACTGACGTCCACGGTCTGTGGTGATGGTTGAAGGGCAGCCGAAGTTTGCTACCCATCGTTCGATGAAGGCGCGGGTCACTGTTTCAGTAGTGATGTCCTTGATAGGTACTGCTTCTGGCCATCGAGTGAAACGGTCTACGCAGGTTAAGAAATAAGAGTATCCATTTGAATCTGGTAAAGGTCCTAACAAATTCAGACGAACATGGTCGAAACGAGCATCTGGAGTTTTAAATGAGCCTAAGGGACATTTATTGTGTCTGATAATATTAGATTTTTGGCAGCTTACACAGGAGCGTGCCCACTCCCTCACGTCTTTATTCATTCCAGGCCAGCAAAACCGTTCTGCCACAAGCTTGATGGTTGCACGAACGCCTGGATGAGAAAGTTTGTGCGATGTATTGAAGACATTGCGTCGATAACGTTTTGGCACGATTGGGCGATCCTTACCTGTAGACGTGTCACAAAGAAAGGTTTCCTTAACTGTTCCCATCTGTTTGATGCATAGCTTGAGTGTTATGGACGATAACTCGTGCTGAAGATCAGTGTCTTCTTTTTGAAGTTCGGCGAGTTTCAGAAGGTCGATCCCTTGGAAACTGTTCAAGGAAGTTATGCGAGACAAGGCGTCTGCAAATACATTGTTTGCTCCAGAAATGTGTTGAATATCTGAAGTAAACTGCGAAATGTAGTCTAGTTGTCGAGACTCACGGGGAGAGTACTTGTCAGAGGAAGAGCTTAAAGAAAAGGTAAGCAGCTTGTGGCCAGTGAAAAGGGTAAATTTTTGGCCTTCGATATAGTGTGGAAAATGCATGCAGCACAATACATAGCTAGGAGTTCCCTACAGAATGTGCTGTACCTCGATTCGGTGTCTAGCAACCATCTAAAGAAAAATGCCGAAGGTTACCAGGAGTTTTTAACCCATTGTTGCAAGACTCCTCCGATTGCTGAGTCGGATGGGCCTACTGCGATGCTAATGGGTGCCTGAGTGTCCTGATGTGCAAGCTTTGTTGCTTCGGCGATAAGTTCCTTAATTGTGGAGAATGCTTTTCGTGCGGTGTCGTCCAAATTAATAGATTTCGCATTTCCACGAAGTTGGTCGGTAAGAGGTTTCATGAGTAAAGCGCATTTAGGTATGAATCGTCTATAGAAACTTACCAGGCCGTTAAACGTGCGTAATTGGTTGACGGTGGTCGGTTCTGGGTAGTCCAGAAGTGCCGCCACTGTGGTTCTAAGGGGTCGAATGCCTTGAGCATCTATAGTGTGTCGTAGGAAGTTTAATGAGTCAGCTCCGATTTGGCATTTCTGAACGTTTACAGTAATGCCATGTTTTTGTAGTCGGTCGAAAACAAGATCCAGATGCTTGAGATGTGATTCTCTGTCCGGACTTGCGATTAGGCAGTCGTCAACATACGCATGTACGAAGTTGAGACCTCG